CCACAGATCCACCCTGACCCCAGGGATCCACCCTGACCCCACAGATCCACCCTGACCCCATCCTGACCCCAGGGATCCACCCTGACCCCACGGATCCATCCCGACCCCATCCTGACCCCACAGATCCATCCTGACCCCACAGATCCACCCTGACCCCAGGGATCCACCCTGACCCCACGGATCCATCCCGACCCCACAGATCCATCCCGACCCCCCAAGTGACACCCACGAGGTGACACCAACAGCTGTCACTTTATTCAGAGTGGAGTGACAACAACCCCCGATGTCCCCAAGGTGTCACATGCGGTGCAGGTAGAAGGCAGTGGCACCACGGAAGGTCCCACCACAGAATGTCCCACCATGGAAGGTCCCACCATGGAAGGTCCCACCATGGAAGGTCCCCAAGGTGTCACATGCACAGGTAGAAGGTGGTGGCCCCATGGATGTCCCCAGGCCCCGATGTCCCCAAGGTGTCACATGCACAGGTAGAAGGTGGTGGCCCCACGGATGTCCCCAAGCCCCGATGTCCCTGCGGTGTCACATGCGGCGCAGGTAGAAGGCGGTGGCACCATGGAAGGTCCCACCACAGAAGGTCCCACCACAGAAGGTCCCACCACGGAAGGTCCCACCATGGAAGGTCCCACCATGGAAGGTCCCACCACAGAAGGTCCCACCATGGAAGGTCCCACCACGGATGTCCCCAAGCCCCGGTGTCCCCAAGGTGTCACATGCACAGGTAGAAGATGATGGCCCCATGGATGTCCCCAAGCCCTCGATGTCCCCGTGGTGTCACATGCGGCGCAGGTAAGAGGTGGTGGCACCATGGAAGGTCCCACCATGGAAGGTCCCCAAGGTGTCACATGCACAGGTAGAAGGTGGTGGCCCCATGGATGTCCCCAAGCCCCGATGTCCCTGCGGTGTCACATGCGGCGCAGGTAGGAGGCGGTGGCACCACGGAAGGTCCCACCATGGAAGGTCCCACCATGGAAGGTCCCCAAGGTGTCACATGCACAGGTAGAAGGTGGTGGCCCCATGGATGTCCCCAAGCCCCCGATGTCCCCACAGTGTCACATGCGGCGCAGGTAGAAGGCGGTGGCACCACAGAAGGTCCCACCACGGAAGTCCCCAAGCCCCGGAAGGTCCCACCACGGAAGGTCCCACCATGGAAGGTCCCACCATGGATGTCCCCAAGCCCCAGGTGTCCCCAAGGTGTCACATGCGGCACAGGTAGAAGGCAGTGGCACCACAGAAGGTCCCACCATGGAAGGGCCCACCATGGATGTCCCCAAGCCCCGATGTCCCCGCGGTGTCACATGCGGCGCAGGTAGAAGGCGGTGGCACCGGGGGGCGGTGCCAGGGCCAGCTCCTCCCCCGGGGCCGTGCTGAGGAAGAGCCCGGGGAAGGCGGCGGCCTCGAAGGTGTGGGTGGAGCCCCCGAAGGTCTTGTAGAAGGTGAAGGGCGTGGCCCTGTCCTTGTCAGCCGAGAACAGCTCCATCACCCCCACGTCCTGCACGGGCAGGGGACACCCATGGTGGCACCCGCGGTGGCACCGGCCACAGCCCCAGGTGGCGTCACCTCCAGAACGCCCATCTGCGGGTGACGCCATGGCCGGGTGACTCCACCTCGAGGAACCCACACTGACCCAGTTGTGTGACCCCAGCTCCAGGTGACCCCGTGCCCAGGTGACCCCAGCTCCAGGTGAGCCCACCTCAAGGTGACCCCATCTCCAGGTGACCTCATCTCCAGGTGACCCCATGTCCAGGTGACCCTATCTCCAGGTGACCCCATCTCCAGGTGACAACAACATCAGGTGACTGCACTCCGGGTGACCACACCCCCAGGTGATGCCACCATTAAGTGACACCACCCCAGGAAATCCCCACTTCCGGGTGACACTGTTTTGGGATGACACCACTTTGACCCACCTTGGATCTTCCACCTTGGGTTGACCCAACTTTGGGTCCTGACCCACCTTGACCTGACCCACCTTGGG